AATTAATTAATTTTAGTTTTTTTTAGATTTAAGTTGCATATATCTACCAATAGATGACGCCAGATAAACTTAAAAAAAATGAATGAAAATTATTTATAAAGGACTTTTTGCAATATAGTGGAAAAGAAGTATTAATTGTCTTTAAAATTTTTTTTTTTATATTACTTGTTAATAGTGTTCTTAAGTGAGAACAAGGTTTACAGAACAATGTAATGATTTTAAGTAATATGTGTTTTTTTCCCCATTTTTTAAACGTAATACTTGTTAATAAAAGCGAAATATTACGAATGTCTTAATGGCTTTATTTATATTCTTATTTTTAAGAAGAAATTCTATAATTACAAATATTATTATTTAAAAGATACTCAATTGTCTTAATGCTTTTAATTTATATTCTTATAATTTAAAAGATATTTTACATTTAAAAATATTATTTAAAAGATATTCTATTTTTAAAAATAGTATTCTTTAAAAGTTATTCTACATTTAAAAATATTATTATTTTAAAGATATTCGAGAGTTTTAATGTTTTTATTTATATTCTTATTGTTCAAAAGATATTCTATATTTAAAAATATTATTATTTAATACATATTCGAGTGTCTTTATGTTTTTATTTATATATTTATTATTTAAAAATAAATATGTTCTTGTTATTTAAAAACTGAATATAAAGTGTTAACAAATAAAAATTTTCAATACAGAATTTTACTTCTGAGTAATCCAGTATTAATTAAATTTAGCTATATTTTAAATTTGTATCTCCAATTTTTCCTTTAAATTTTTTTTAATTAATTTTTTTTATTCTTAATTATGATCCAATATTCTCACCTTCAAAACCATGACTGGTCCTATAGTATTAGTAGAAAAATGACGCAATAGATTTTCTTCTGTTATTTCTCGGAAAACTTGAATTTTTAAGATTCCAGCATTATTAATCAAAAGATTTAACCCTTTATCACCAACGATTCCTTCCACAATTTTTTTGGCATTTTCAATTTCCTTCGTCTTTTCGATATCTGGAAAAAAGTTACAAATCCTTTATGACATAAAATATTATCATAAAATTATCTAAAATTGGCTGACTGGCAGTTAACTATTGAATACCTAATTACCTATTGAATTAAGCGTATTATTCAATTCCTTCTATTAGCTCATACTCTCCCTATATATATCTTGTTCAAATTTTCAATTGTTAATAAAATACTTTTTATTTTTCCACTCAAGTTCAAATACATTTTTTTTGAACTTGTAGTGGATGACACTGGATGTTAATACAGTTTTTTCAAAGTTTCTTTACTCTATTATACAAATAATTAAAACAATAAGCAAAATTACAAATAACAGATTTAACTGAACTGAACTTTTAAAGGGAAACTGATGGCCGAGTGATTAGCGATCTGACTGTCGGTGTCACAGGCTTCAGGTTAGAAACCTAGCGGTGGTATGTATGTTTCTTAGTGATTCGGTATCTGCGTTAAATTGTAAGTTCCTTTCTGATACGACAGTAGAACATTGGGTGTAGGGCTAACAACTCTACGCCATAAAAAGAGAACATCTACTGTATCGAAATCTGTCAGTAGGCAGACGGTCTTTGCCCACCATGGGGCCAATGAAGAAGAAAAACTTTTGTATATGATCGAAATAATAAAAAAAAAAATATCGAACTGAAATAAATTACTGACTAAAATCGCACCACTGATGGTGCGGAAAATCGACAAGCAACCAAGTTGGACGGATTCAAAATGAGCGGCATCATAGGGTAAGAAATGTTAAATAGCCAGTATTTTAATAGCGAAAAAAGAGAACTTAAATTTTTAGTACTTAAAATTTTATATTAAACAATATTAAAAGAAAAATTTCACTAATAACACTAAATTACTGTTACAACTGAAATAGTTATCAAAATCAAATACATTTTATGAGTACACGATAAATAAATCACAATTTAAATAATAAAAAGAATCATCTCGAAAGTATAAAGAATATAGCTTTAAAATGCTGCATATTTTTAAATAAAAATTAATCTCTATAAGGATAACTGATATTTAACAGATTCAGCATTATTCTATATACAATAAAAAAATAAAATGTTGCAACTTACCCATTTTAATTAATACTACTTGAGTTTGTTTATGTGCCTCTTTGACTTCTTCAAGAGCCTAAAATATGATAAAATATGCAATCCAAAATGTATTTTATAAAGCAAGAAATTAAAAGATTTCAAAAACTACAGGAAGCTTTTTTTTTAAATCATGCTGATACTTCAATAATAGTAAAGTAAATTAAAAACAATGATCCTCATATTTATTGGTTTGAACCAATTAAAATTGAAAATTGGTTTTACTTTTTAGGCACAGTAGTATGTAGGTATCGCTTTTTAGTGATTATTATATTTAATTCTTTACCTAATTACTTTTGTCTGTCTTACTGTCTTACTTTTTGACACAGTATACATACATATATATATATATATATATATATATATATATTGAAGGTTAATTGCAGATTTTTAAATATTTTTCTTCTAAATTATTATTTTTTTTGATATTCCGTAGTCCGAATTTAAAAAAGCAATACTTTTTTTATTCATTTACTATTAATTATAATATAATTTATTTACATGTAGCCTGTATAAGTGATTTTCGTTGGTCCCATTTATAGAGTAACTTCAGGATTTTAGCGTATATTTAATATTTTAGCTTGTAAATTGTCCATTTGTCATTTTTTATAGAAGAAAACATTTTACCTTATGATTCATTATATTATTAATACGAATAATAATTGTATATGCCTTTTAAATTAACTTTAAAAAAAACCCCAAATGTTTAAATATTTACTCGGAATTTTGAAAATTATTTCTTTTGTTTCTACCATTCTTAGTAAAGTGAGCTCTTAATAAAAGCCTATAGTGTATCATTAATAATTTACGTTTCATCAATAAATCTAGAACAAAAACATGATTAAAAAACTAAAATTAAAGAATGAAGTTTTAGGTTTTATTTTAAATCTATAAAAAAAAGAAGAAACTAGTCAAATCATGTAGGAAGCGGTTTGTTGCAAGATTAAATTTAAATAATCATGCTAAAATAATCATCAGTAAATAATGTTAACTAATTAATAACACATAACACATAAGCACATTCTAGAGTGCCCGGCACTCACTCCCCATGTTTTGCAATTGGGTAGGGTGCCAATCGAGGCCAACTTAAGAGAAGTCCTGTATAGTGAAGCGGCGCCATTGCTAGCGGCCGCTATCGTGAAGACTTTTGACTTGATCTAACTTTGATAATTATATTTTAAATCCATGGACACGTTAATAATTAATAATGTTAAATTATTTAAAATTATCGTCATAAATAAACAATTACCTGTATTGATTTCTTATCTCTATAGGTAGCAAACACATAATGAGGGGGCTTAGATAATTGCAGTAGTTACGTATTTTTACATATTATTTATATTATTATTTATTTATATGTAATAATTTATAAGTATGCTTATTTAAGCGATTTTCGTTGGTCCCAATTACTGAGTAAATTCGGAATTTTAGTGCATATTTAATATTTCACATTACAAATCGCCCACTTGTCCTTTTTTATACAATAAAAGCATTTTACATAATGAATCATTGTAATAGTAATACGAATATTAATTACGCATGCCTTTTAAATTAACTTCAAACAAACAATTGTTTACATATTGAATCGGAATTTTGAAAATTATTTTCTTTGTTTATACTATTTTAATGAAGTGAGCTCTTAATAAAAGCCCATGTTGTATCGTTAATAATTTATGTTTCATCAATAAATCAATAACAAATATAACTATGATTAAAAAATAAAATTTAAGAATGATGTTTTATTTTTTAATTTGAATCTATAACAAAAAGAAGAAACTAATCAAATCATGTATTAAGCTGTTTGGAGCAAGATTAAATTTAAATAAACATGTTAAATTAATTAAAGTTTCATTTTTAAATAAACAATTACCTGTATTGATTTCTCATCTCTATAGGTAGCAAACACATAGTGAGGTGGCTTAGGTAATCGCAGTAGTTGTTTAACAAATTCTAAACCGATACCTCGGTTTGCTCCAGTTACTAAAACACTGTCTACTTCCATATTTTCTTGCAGAATGACAGTATATTTTTAAATTTACACATAAAAACTTGTGCTGTTCGTCCTTTCAATAGCACTTTTCAAACATCTAATCTCCATTTATTTATCAAATTCTTATTCATGCGCTGATAATATCTTGTTGCCGATGTGTCAGAATATTGCACGCGCGCTCGAAACTATTGTTGTTGCAATAGTATAATAAATAAAAGTATCAAAATGGATGATTCATTCAAATAGGCGGTTCATTTATATGAATGATTCACTTAAATAAATAGGTTCATTTATATGAATGATTCCTTTAAAAATGGATATTCATTGGATATGGATCAATATAAAAATGTGGATGATTCATTTTTTTTAAAACGATGTAATGTTCTAGATTGGGGTCATTTTCTTTCGTGTTAATAGAGAGTTTTTGCATACCGTATTTTGGACGTCCGTTAGCTTTTTCTTCCCAGTGCGCATGCTCATAGGAAGCATTATTACAGATACGCATGCGCAATTTCCTATGAGCATGCACGCTAGGGAGAAAAAGCTAACGGACGTCCAAAATACGGTATGCAAAAACTCTCTAATATCTGACTGAATGGCTAATTTTTTTCTGCTGTTTATTATTTTGTTCACATCATCAGTGATCAATTTAGAAAAAGAATTAAGGCAAGCTTATAAAGTTAACACTGAAGTATCATACAGTTCTTGTTATAGTAAAATAATAAACCATAGATTACAATGGATTTCTAGTCCATCGCCTCAACCACTCGGCCACGACTACGGAGCGCGGCTCATGAGTAGGGCAATTTAAATCTCTATTTTCAAATTTTAAAAAGAAATTCTTCAGATTATTCTTTAATGCTTCTGCGACTTATAAAAAATTCTAAACGTAGCAGGTAGGATTCGAATCTACGCGGGAAGATCCCAATGGATTTCTAGACCATCGCCTTAACCACTCTAACCAGGTTCGAGAGGTTCTACCGACTACGTATAAAATTTTTAGAAATTAGCAGAAGTCTTATTTAGTTAAAGCGAATAGTTGATTTCATTTTTAACTTATGAAGAGCGATTTAACCCATGTAGAATGAATGTGCATAAGACATTAAAATCTCCGTGGGACAGCGGCGCAACAGATAACGGGTCTGACTACGGATCAGGAGATTCCAGGTTCGAATCCTGGCTGGCTCCACATATTCGTATTTAGCTTTTGTTTTACTCACAATAAAATTACTGTACGAACTCTACATCCAGTTCTACGTTTCGGACCTTATCTAAAATAACGCGTTTGTTCATAAAATAAATATGAAACTATTGATTTATACTTCTCAACAAGAATTTAGACATTTGTAGTCGTGGCCGAATGGTTAGGGCGATGGACTAGAAATCCATTGGGATCTCTCCGCGTAGGCTCGAATCCTACCGACTACACATACAATTTTTAGAAATTCCAGAAGTCTTATTAATTTAAAGCGAATAGTTGATTTCTTTTTTAACTCATGAAGAGCGATTTAACCTATGTAGGATGAAAGTACCTAAGAAATTCAAACATCCGTGGGCCAGTGTTGCAACGGATAACGCGCCTGACTACGAAGATCTTCCCGCGTAGGTTCGAATCCTACCAAACACGTTTGGAATTTTCTATAAGTGGCAGAAGCATTAAAGAATAATCTGAAGAATTTTTTTAAGACATTTGAAAATACAGATTTATATTGCCCCACTCATGAGTTGTGCTTCGTAGTCATGGCCGAGTGGTTAAGGCGAAAGACTAGAAATGCATTGGAATCTTTCCGCGTAGCTTCGAATCCTACTGACTACGTATAAAATTTTTAGAAATTCGCAGCAATCTTATTAAGTTAAAGCGAATATTTGATTTCTTTTTTAACGTATGAAGAGCGATTTAACCCATGTAGAATGAATGTACATAAGACATTAAAACTTCCGTGGGAAAGTGGCGCAACGGATAACGCCTCTGACTACGGATCAGGAGATTCCAGGTTCGAGAGGTTAAGAGCGACAATCCAACTGACACACAAAGGACAGGAAGTAGAGTTCTTACAGTAATTTTATTGTGAGTAAAACATAAATTAAATGCGAATATATCGAGACAACCACGATTCGAACCTGGAATTTCGTGAGTCGTTGTCAGACGCGTTATCATTTGCGCCACTTTCCTAAGGAGGTTTTAATGTCTTATGTACATTCATTCTACATGGTTTAAATCGCTCTTCATACATTAAAAAAGAAATCAACTATTCGCTTTAAATTAATAAGTTTTCTGCAAATTTCTAAAAATTTTTTGCGTAGTCGGCAGGATTCGAACCTACGCGGGAAGATACGAAAGGATTTCTAGTCCATCGCCTTAACCACTCGGCCATGACTACAAAAGTCCGCTTTCTTGTTGAGAAATATAAATCAATACTTTCATATTTACTTTATAATCAGAAGTGTTATTTTTAGATAAGGTCCAAAACGGAGGACTGTAAGCAGAGTTCTTACAGTCATATTAATGAGAGTAAAAGAAAAGTTAAATGCGAATATATCGAGCCAGCCAGGATTCGAACCTGAAATCTCCTGATCCGTAGGCAGGCACGTTATCCGTTGCGCCACTGCCCCACGGTGATTTTAATGTCTTATGTACATTCATTTTACATGGGTTAAATTGCTCTTCATAACTTAAAAAAGTGAATCAACTATTCGATTTTAACTTCATAAGATTTCTGCTAATTTCTGCAAATTTTATACGTAGTCGGTAGGATTGGAACCTTCGCGGGAAGATCCCAATGGATTTATAGTCCATCGCCTTAACCACTCGGCCACGACTACAAATGTCCACTTTCTTGTTGAGAATTATAAATCAATACTTTCATATTTACTTTATGAACAAAAGTGTTATTTTTAGTTAAGGTCCGAAACGGAGGACTGGAAGCAGAGTTCTTACAGTCATTGTACTGTGAGTAAAACATAAGATAAATTCGAATATATCGAGCCAGCCAGGATTCGAACCTGGAATCTCCTGATCCATAGTCAGGCGCTTTATCCGTTGCGCCACTGGCCCTCGCAGGTTTTAATGTCTTATGTACATTCATTCTACATGGGTTAAATTGCTCTTCATAAGTTGAAAAAAGGAATCAACGACTCGATTTTAACTTTGTAAGATTTCTGCTAATTTCTACAAATTTTATACATAGTGGGTAGGATTCGAACCTACGTGGGTAGATCCCATTGGATTTCTAGTCCATCACCTTAACCACTCGGCCACGATTACAAATGTCCACTTTCTTGTTGAGAAATATAAATCAATACTTTTATATTTACTTTATGATAAAAAGAGTTATTTTTAGATGAGTCCGAAACGGAGGACTCGAAGCAGAGTTCTTACAGTCATTGTATTGTGAGTAAAACAAAAGATAAAAGCGAATTTATCGAGCCAGCCAGGATTCGAACCTGGAATCTCCTGATTCATAGTCAGGCGCGTTATCCATTGCGCCACTGTCCCACGGAGGTTTTAAGGTCTTATGTACATTCATTCTACATGGGTTAAATTGCTCTTCATTAGTTAAAAAAAGGAATCAACTATTCGATTTTAACTTAATAAGATTTCTGCTAATTTTATACGTAGTCGGTAGGCTTCGAACCTACGCGGGATTATCTCAATGGATATCTAGTCCATCGCCTTAACCACTTGGCCACGACTACAAATGTCTACTTTCTTGTTGAGAAATATAAGTCAATACATTCATATTTACATTATGATCAAAAGTGTTATTTTTAGATAAGGTGCGAAAAGGAGGACTGGATGCAGAGTTCTTACAGTCATTGTATTGTGAGTAAAACAAATGATAAATGCGAATATATCGAGTCAGCCAGTATTCGAACCTGGAATCTCCTGATCCGTAGTCAGGCGCGTTATTCGTTGCGCCACTGGCGCTCGCAGGTTTTAATGTCTTATGTACATTCATTCTACATGGGTTAAATTGCTCTTCATAAGTCAATAAAAGAAATCAACTATTCGAATATAACTTAATAAGATGTCTGCTAATTTTATACGTAGTCGGTAGGCTTCGAACATACGCGGGATTCTCTCAATGGATATCTAGTCCATCGCCGTAACCACCTGGCCATGACTACAAAAGTACTTTTTCTTGTTGAGAAGTATAAATCGATACTTTCATATTTAATTTATGACCAAAATTGTTATTTTTAGATAAGATCCGAAACTGAGGACTGGAAGCAGAGTTCTTACAGACATTGTATTGTGAGTAAAACAAAAGATAAATGCGAATATAACGAGCCAGCCAGGATTCGAACCTGGAATCTCCTGATCCGTAGTCAGGGGCGTTATCCGTTGCGCCACTGGCCCATGGAGGGTTTAATGTCATATGTACATTCATTCTACATGGGTAAAATTGCTCTTAATAAGTTAAAAAAAGGAATCAACTATTCGATTTTAACTTAATAATATTCCTGCTAATTTCTACAAATTTTATACGTAGTCGGTAAGATTCGAACCTGCGCGGGAAGATCCCAGTGGATTTCTAGTCCAACGCCTTAACCACCCGGCCATGACTACAAATGTCCTCTTTCTTGTTGAGAAATATGAATCGATAATTTCATATTTACTTTAGGATCAACGTGTTATTTTTAGATAAGGTTCGAGACGGAGGACTGGCAGCAGAGTTCTTACAGTCATTGTATTGTGAGTAAAACAAAAGATAAATGCGAATACACCGAGCCAGCCAGGATTCGAACCTGGAATCTCCTGATCCGTAGTCAGGCGCGTTATCCGTTGCGCCACTGGCCCACGGAGGTTTTAATGTCTTATTTACATTCATTGTACATGGGTTAAATTGCTCTTCATAAGTTAAAAAAAGGAATCAACTATTCGATTTTAACTTAATAAGATTCCGGCTAATTTCAACAAATTTTATACGTAGTCGGTAGGATTCGAACCTACGCGGTAAGATTCCAATGGATTTCTAGCCCATCGATTTAAAAACTCGGCCACGACTACAAATGTCCACTTTCTTGTTGAGAAATATAAATCAATACTTTCATATTTAATTTATGTTCAAAAGCGTTATTTTTAGATAAGGTCCGAAAAGGAGGACTGGATGCAGAGTTCTTACAGTCATTGTATTGTGAGTAAAACAAAAGATAAATGCGCATATATCGAGCATGGTTCTACATGGGTTAAATTGCTCTTCATAACTTAAAAAAACGAATCAACTATTCGACTTTAACTTAAGTTAAAATCGAATAGTTGATTTCTCCGTGGGCCAGTGGCGCAACGGATAACGCGCCTGATTACGGATCACGCGACTCCAGGTTCGAATCCTGGCTGCCTCGATATATTCGCATTTATCTTTTGTTTTACTCACAATACAATGACTGTAAGAACTCTGCTTCCAGTCCTCCGTTTCGGACCTTATCTAAAAATAACACTTTTAATCATAAAGTAAATATGAATGTATGGATTTATAATTCTCCACAAGAGAGTGGACATTTGTAATCGTGGCCGAGTGGTTAAGGCGATGTACTAAATATCTCTTGAGATAATCCCGCGTAGGTTCGAAACCTACCGACAACGTGTAAAATTAGCAGAAATCTTATTAACTTAAAATCGAATAGTTGATTCCTTTTTTTAACTTATGAAGAGCAATTTAACCCATATAGAAAGAATGTACATAAGACATTAGAACCTCCCTGGGCCAGTGGCGCAATGAATAACGCGCCTGACTACTGATCAGGAGATTCCTGATTCGAATCCTGGCTAGCTGGATATATGCGCATTTATCTTTTGTTTTACTCTTTTACAAAAACAACGACTGTAAGAACTCTACTTCCAGTCCTCCGTTTCGGACATTATCTAAAAATAACACTTTTGATCATGAAGTAAATATGAAAGTATTGATTTATATTTCTCAACAAGAAAGTGGACATTTGTAGCGGTGGCCGAGTGGTTAAATCGATGGACTAGAAATCCATTGAGATCTTCCCGCGTAGGTTCGAATCCTACCGACTACGTATAAAATTAGCAGGAATCTTATTAAGTTAAAATCGAATAGTTGATTTCTTTCTTTAACTTATGAAGAACAATTTCACCCATGTAGAATGAATGTACATAAGACATTAAAACCTCCGTGGCCAGTGGCGCAACGGATAACGCGCCTGACTACGGATCAGGAGATTCCAGGTTCGAATCCTGGCTGGCTCGAGATATTCGCAGTTATCTTTTTTACTTACAATACAATGACTGTAAGAACTCTGCTTCCAGTTCTCCAATCGGACCTTATCTAAAAATAGCACTTTTGAACATAAAGTAAATATGAAAGTATTGATTTATATTTCTCAACAAGAAAGTGAACATTTGCAGTCGTGGCCGAGTGGTTAAGGCGATGGATTAGATATCCATTGGGATCTTCCCGCGTAGGTTCGAATCATACCGACTACGTATAAAATTTGTAGAATTAGCAGGGATGTTATTAAGTTAAAATCGAATAGTTGATTCCTTTTTTTTTACTTTTGAAGAGCAATTTAACCCATGTAGAATGAATGTACATAAGACATTAAAACTCCGTGGGCCAGTTGCGCAACGGATAACGCGCCTGACTACGGATCAGGAGATTCCAGGTTCGAATCCTGGCAGGCTGGATATATTCGCATTTATCCTTTGTTTTACTCACAATGCAATGACTGTAAGAACTCCGCTTCCAGTCCTCCGTTTCGGACCTTATCTAAAAATAACAATTTTGGTCATAAATTAAATATGAAAGTATCGATTTATATTTCTGAACAAGAAAGTGGACATTTGCAGGTGTGGCCAAGTGGTTAAGGCGATGGACTAGATATTCATTGAGATAATCTCGCGTAGGTTCGTATCCTACCGAATACGTATAAAATTAGCAGAAATCTAATTAAGTTAAAATCGAATAGTTGATTCCTTTTGTTGACTTATGAAGAGCAATTTAATCCATGTAGAATGAATGTACATAAGACATT